AAATATATTTGGAAACTCTCTAGAGACTTCTTTCCGCAAGAAACTGAAATTTTTAGAGCCGAAAGGAAAAAGAATATATCCAATAAACAGAGCCCATAATAGGCCTTTAACAACTCTAAAGAAGATAACCCCGTCTCGAACCTTAACCTTAAGGTAATATAGAATATAAAGCCAACCTTTTATTTTGGAGAGATTTAAAATTAAATACATTCGGAAACTATGAAAACTACTGAAATTTTGACTAGATATAACCAACTTTTAATATAGTGAGTTTTCATAATACATTAATATGTGATACGCAAATGTTACTAATTCCTCTATTTTGAATTTTAAAATTCGCTGAATTAATATTAAAGGGAATTAGTTATAGATTAAAATATATTTCTTGTACTGTTAGCAGAACAGATGGTTTTATTTTGTTTATTATTTTGTTTATTATTTTGTTTATTATTTTGTTTATTATTTTGTTTATTATTTTGTTTATTATTTTGTTTATTATTTTGTTTATTATTTTGTTAATACTTCTACATGATGTGCCAAAAAGTTCTTGTCAAATGAAAAAAAATACAATATTGAGAGAAGTATAAAATAGACGTGATGAGAGGTTCTTGACCCAAACTACTCAATGTTACGAATATATCTTTCAAATTTTTTTTTATTTTTATGCCAGAATTGTTAGTTACTTTTTTATTGCATACATACATTATTTTATATTTACTCTATACCTTCAGATGACCTGCCTATTTAGAAATAAACATATTTCATTAAATTCAATACATTCAGTTTTAAGACACTCTGTATACATAAATAATTATTGGTTTTGAAAATATTATTTGCAATCTAGGGAGAGGGAAATCAGAAAACGAACAGAAATTATAGGTGTTAATAGCTTTCAGACCATCGTTTGATACGCATTGATGTTATTTTGGTTTGCAAGTTTTGGGGTAATTGTGGCAAAAAATGTTACTAAAGGTAAAGTAAACGTTTCTTCATTATTTAATTAATGTTAACAAATATAATATACAACCTAAATTTATAAACAAAAAATCTCATATAAATCTTGTCACACTACCATCACACACACGAAATATAGGATCCCCTATAATAAGATTCTTTTCATCTCCAAGCATGTTTCATAAAAGGAAAATTAGGTTTTTATAAAAGCTTCCCAAAGGGTTACGTGAAACAGGATGAAAGCCGCAGAGATTGCGGTTTTTTAATGGAGATTGGGATAAAACTGTTGTAAATAAATTTTAACGCTGATGGCTATGGGCTCTTAAAGCGACCTCTTTTCGCGCACGTAATGACTTTAGATTTTTTTAATTAGTATATTTTGTATACTTTACATAAGCATTAACATTATCACACCCTTTATAAAAATCTTTTTAATATTAGATGTTAAGAGCTGCTTTATGTTTAATAGAAACGCTAAAATTTTAATTATTATCAAAATGTCTTAGTAGATAAAAAATAGTTTGGAGTTAATAAATTTTGAAGATTTAATGTTACATATTAGTGGTAAATTTATGTAAATCTATTTAAGTAAAATTAAATCTTATACCTTTGTGGTGGATTTATTTGTAGAAAAAGTGCTTACTTAAAATGAGTACTTTGCCAATGAAACAGGAATGCGAATAATATAAAAGTGCCAATGAGCTAGAATACAAATAAAAACTAATTTCCTAATAGATTTCTACTTGTAAACAAATTTGTCTAATAAACAAAAACCACATCAAACAAATAATTAAATATTTTAAAATTCACAATAAATATTACATCTTATGTTGAAAATTCTGAATTATATCAAGAATTAAGAAATAATACAAGGATGCTATCATATATGAGAGTATAAGTATGAATGTATTACGTAGATGTGCTACAAAGAATATAGCTTCTTCCTAGTATCAATATAAAGCTGCTTATTTAAAATATTTTATAAACAAAGTTGAAATATTTCAGATAATTTACTTAAGTAGATCATATCGCATTATTTTAATACAAAACAGGCAACTTTCTATAAAAATTTAAAATATAACATAGTATTGTAAAAGAATATTTATTTTTGTACGAATGCTGCGGGTTTATGCATATAAATAATACTGAACTTTGGAGGGATATATTTAGCGAAAATAAATTCTGGTGTATGCTGTAACGTAATATCCAACAGATTCCAGATTTATAGTTTGCGAATATTAAAAAAAAAACACAAAATAAAAAAAGTATATTCATATCTATTAAAAATTGAAACTGCATTTCAAATTTCATTACATTCCTAAAATTTTGTTCTAACTTCCGTATCTGCTGATATAAATTTAATATTTGTCTTACTCGCAGTATAGCTAAATATTCCAGAAATATTAAAAAATCATTAATTCAAATTACTTTTGAAATTTAATTGATGTTTTTGTTGTTATATAAAATATGCTAAGCTGTTCTATATATTCAGTAAATGAAAACACTGCCCAACTAATATATTCATTACTTAATTTAATCGGTAAACGTATTCCTAAAGCCAAAATAACAGCCTTTGCTATAGTTGCTGTAGTATAAATTACCTGTCGCTGTTATAAAGTCGCTTACTAAAACTTATTCCTTAGCAAAGTTGCACTTCTTGAAATTCTCTTCTTTCTTGAAGTTTTTTCATTTATTTTATTAGCTATCAGAATATTCTTAATTCCAAATTATGTTATATTTAAAAATATTTCCATGTTAACATTGTTCTCTTAAGGCGATTTCTAAACCATACGAATAGTTTAGAGATCAAAACTAGCCAGATGTGAGAAATTTCACTCGCTATAGGAATGTAGCAGAACAGAGCTCACAGTCTGTGTTGACATACTTAAGTTATTTGCATGTGTGCGAAATTGCAGGAAAACTCTCAGGTGATGAACTCAGTGATGAACGTATCAACATTTTTAGCAATATGTTTATGAAATCGAAAGATTCACTAAAGCAAGCTTCTCATCATGCAGGTGTACGTTAGCGAACTTGTTATTATTAATCCACTATAAACAGAAACTCAAATTATTCGGAAAAAATAAGGAATATTTTAAGAAATTTATTGTTCATCCTAAATCTAAATTACAAAAACAATATACAGGGTGAATCTTAAATAGGTGCAAATATAGTATTTGTATTAGGTTTTTTTCGCGGAAAAAATTCGTATAAATGTATATCCAAAATGCTTAGTTTCGGATCTCTCTCTCTCTCTCTCTCTCTCTCTCTTCAGTCCTTCACTCTACGTGAGAGTATGGTGACATCATGTGTTCATCCCCCTCACTTCCTCGGACCAAGTTGGTCGACACTGCGCCATATGTGAAGCTTCGGGGAGGCTGTGGCCCACTAGGGTTTTGACTTGGTCTACCCACCTCTTAGGTCACCTTCCACGTGATCGTCTTCCCTCTACCTTCCCCTCCACCATCAGTCTCTCAATTGAGGTGCCACTCCTGACAATATGGCCAAAATATCGGAGGATTGACTGATTTAATCTGGTAACCAGCCGTGTCTCAATTTTTAGTTCCTCTATAATGGAAATGTTTGTTCGATGAGCCGTCCATGGCATTCGCCGCAGCCATGGACGGCTCATCGATATACCCACGTCTCCAAGGCAGTTTCGGAGATACAGGGTGTAAAAGTTTCATTTTTATTTCGATTTTTTCCAAATAATTTCTGAAGTAACGTCAATATTTTAATGGAAATTAGTGTCTGGGAGTTTTTTGATATGAGAAATTTAAGTTTCATGTCAGTATGACTCCAACTTGTAGAGGGCGCCACCTACATATTTTTTAACCGTTTTGAAGAGTAATAAATTTGCGTTCGTACCTGTATAAAACTACTGAGTGAAAAAATATACATTACCGTGATTTTTTATGTAAAAAATGTTTCTTGGTAAAATCGCTACGAGCAACCGTTCTCTATATATTTATTGAGAATGGAAATAGTCAATTCATGTCATTATTGACAAAAAATAAACATGTTGAGTAGATAGTTATTTGACTGAAATTATAAATTTGGGAACTTTTTATTTTTTTTTTAATTAATCAGAAATTTTTCGTCGAAGAAATGGTGATAAAACAGTTTCTTATTTCAAATTTACGATTTCAGCCTAATAACTATTTAGTCAACATGGTTAATTTATGTCAATTATAACAAGAGTTGGTAATTTACATTCTAATTTTCATCCAAATATTGACGTTACATCTGAAATTATTTGCAAAAATCGAAATAAAAATGAAACTTTTACACCCTGTATCTCGGAAACTAAGCATTTTAGGACATACACTTATACCAACTTTTTTACTGATTTTATCTGCAGAATATGCTGTCGAAGTTTTCGGAATAAAGTTCGGACCACCTTGTATATTGCGCAGATTCAAACTGTTACTTTGTATTGTAAAATACTGTTGTGAAACAAGCCCCGCTCTAATATGACCTTCCAGACCTTTAGAGTGTAGAAATTCTAGGACATAGCGGCTACGTGTCTGAATAGCGCGACGGAAGAACATTCTAGGTTTCTGTTTTACTCAAGCGACGACTGCGGCAGCGGCATGAAGAGGACAGACGATCAGAATCGCGTACCGTGCTTAGTTTCCGCGCCAAAGAAATTCAAAATAAATTCCTTAGAGAAATAATCTTAGAGTTGTAAATAAGTTTAGTAATTAGTTTGTAAATGTTATATTGTTCTTGTTTTGTTAGTTAAAATAAATTGTGTTAAATAAATAAGACTAATAGAATTATCCACACTGAACCGAGTAAAAACGTAATAATACTAATTCAGTCACATCATTTTCTTGTGACTGACTTTCTTGACTAATATGACAGTTATTGTTATTCATGTCACTGTATCTACTGCTTTATATGTATACCGTATTTTTAGTTTTAAAACAAAATACATATCTTCCTGATTTTGTGCCGTCCCGCCTATTAAATTTCAAACTTTCCGTTCTTATTTTCTCACGTAGCAAATTTCTCATTTAAAATTGAAATTCTTGTTGCAGAACATGCAGTCCACGCCGATGCTGTGCCCCCTGAGTACCGATTCGACTCCGCAACGAGATTGGAAACAAAGGCTCAGCCTCCGAGACCATCGAAAACGAGATATGGTACGGAATAATATTCTCCTTTTGGCCTTAATCTCTTATTAGATCTTAGAAAGACGCGTCCCACTTCGTGACTTTTATTTTGCAAATTTTCTTTGTATACGTCAGGTTCATTTTCGATCAAATAATTTTATATTTTGTAGGAGTATATACCGTATGATCGAAAAAAAATGGCGTCCAGTTGGTTTGGAAATGACGATCGATGACATTTCCCATATAATTTTACATATAAAATGACAGCGATCTTCATTTCATAGCCATCGTTGACGCCGTTTTTATTCGATCATTCGGTATATCCTAGTAAAAACAACAATTTTGCACAGATCACTATTTTATTGCTGTTTAACGAGTAAATTTGATAGTGGAGTTTAACCCGCAACTGGCGTGGTGGAGTATGTATTTACCCGTACTATTTAAACTTATGTAAAATGTTTACGTTTATGATTTAGGCCTCGCCGCGATATTTATCTTTAAGTTAGTGTACCCATATGCAACTTCTAAAGGCGCACTTGTTTTTATCAGGTATTGTTCCTACCAGAGGGGAGTAAAGTTGCACTGGGGTCTGTGTGGCACCACCAGGCTTCTTCTTCTTACAGTGCCATACTATATATATAAAGAGACTTAAGGAATATGAAGATTATCGTGACAATGATTTATCTCCGAACAGTAACTATAACTCCGATTCCGAATCTCTTACGTGTTTAAGTGATAAAATTGAATAATCAATACCAGAAACGAAAGAGATGTAGTATATGTCAAAGGAGAAATGACAAAAAACAAAAATCTCATGAATGCCCGACCCATGTGCGGCGACTACAGATCGTATCTTAGCAAGAACAGTATTTGCAAAAGTTATATACATTCGAGTTTTGCAGTTTTAACGCTCTGAAATTTTTACGTGCAGCTCATCAACACCAATTATTCTCCAAACGTTTAATGGTTTTACCGTTGATTGAAAGAATTGGGAAGATACGCAACTAAAATAACTATAATGAGCGAATTTGTGACAAAGCTGATTTAATTTCCCCTTACGACTCAAGTGCTGGACGGTGGAGACACCAATCGCTTTGCGACCAGCGCCAAAACACTTATTTTCTCTAATTCGGCCAGCGATTCGGCATATCCTATTCGGCGGTATGGAACTGAAAGCGACAGTGTTGCCATATTAAAATGTGTAATATATCTTTAATACGTTTGACGAAAATAATTTGGATGAAAAATCCGCGTCTAAACCGGGTGCGTCTTAAAAGTGACTCACCCCTATAACGTTTTTATTTTTTTCAGATTAAAAAACGAGATTTCGTATGTTAGTATATGACATAAATTAGGATTGATTGACGTATTCAATTGTTTTTAGTCACTTCCTGTTTTACCGAAAAAAAAGTCGTTTAGTTGGCTTGGAAATGACGATTATTGACATATTCCATATGAAATAACAGCGATCTGCATTACCAAGCCAATTCTGACGCCGTTCTTTGTTTAATCATATAATATTATATTAAATTGTTAAATGATAAAAAAATCCTTATTATTAACCTACCGTACCCAAAATCCGGATATCTACGGATTAATAATTAGTTCCGGCAATACTGTCCCAGGCAACCACTCTGTCAACTGAAAGCAGGACTGCGGTACATTATTCTTTACCCGCTGTGCTGTAAACGACTATCAGCACTCAACGGCGCAGAGCCAAACCAGCTAAACTAAATCTCGGACAGGCTGTCATTAACGCGAGCGACGTCTCGGACAGGTTTTTGCCACGGAATCGCCCATAAGGTTGTGCATCTTCTTATTTCTTTAATCAACAGTTTTATTCTAATGGCGCGCTTAAACGACTCGTGTACTTGACAAACATCTGTAATTGGTACACAGGGTATACAAGCATCGTGCGTCGAGCATCTATACAGAATTTCTAAGTTATTTATTATAGGAACTACGCCACACCATCGTCGGACCCTGTATGTTAATAAAAACTACTTGCTAAGCACACGAATCGTCAGAGTCCGCCTTAAAGATTGAAATTAGAAATAAACTAGAAATTCTGTATAGATGCCCGACGCACCATATATAACCTGTCAAATACAAATGTTTCACAAGTAGACGAGTCGTGAGACTGCGCCTTAACGTACAATATTTCTGTGTACTACTAATACCTAATAATTTACATTTAACATCAAATTATTTATTTCGCCATCTAAATATAAATCAACTAAAGATTCAAATTTTTTACAAAATATTAAAAATGCATATTTTAGAATATTTCAAATAATCTATAATGCATAACGTTGTAGCATTAATTATTGACATATTGTCTATGTGAAGTATTTGTTAGGCATGCTGCTTTTATTTCTCATATCTACTAAATATTTTGTATAGAGCTTTGTATAGAATTTATATTTGTGTTTAAATATTAAAAGGATAAACATATTTAAATAATTTTAGTTAATAAATTCATAATACAATGTATGTAATCTGTACATTTTCTGTTTCCTGAATAGCCTGTAAATATTTTTGAATGCCACCCAAAATACACACTTTTATGCAAATGCCTAATAATGTTAACGTTTAAATTTATTTAAGAAAAAAAAATTGAACCTAACAAACAATTCGTATTTATAATGGTTTACAGTAATTTTGTTAAATTATACGAACGTTCTCGTTGATTATTGATTTGAAATAAATGACAGTGTCCTCCAATGAATATGCGAATAAATAATAGAAATAAATATAATAATTCTAATTCTAAGCTGGCAGCTGAGCTAGATGCTTTACCTAGAACGTTATTCAAAAGCTACAAATCTATCGATGAAACAATGTATGAAAATTTACTTCCTAGCACACAACTAGAGAATATTGGTACAAAGATACAGTGTTAAGTTTATTATAGTGATTTTCTTAGCCGCGTCTGGCAGAGATCGTTACCCACAGCGAGTTAAATTGTTCTATAAAGGGGTAAATTCACCCCGAATGGGATATCTGTGGCAACACTGCCGTTACCACTTTTCCTGACACTAGCTCGTGTGTCACGGCTTTGCATTTTTACTTCCAACGCGCATAAAGAAGTTTCACTTCAAAAATAGTTTGATAGGTTGAGAAATTTATTTTAGTAAGTAATTTTTTGAAGCGATCTTATTTGAGATCTGTTTAACCGATATCTTAATACATAACACAGCTTCATGTTTTTATATTGGCTTATGTAATATAATTTAATATTAACATTTCATGCATATTTAAATAAATCTCAGCGTATAAATCTGCTAGATATAGAAAAACCTCTAAATTTTTTATATAAATATTGGAGATTTTCAAATCTGAATACTTAAGAGTCTATTACGCTGTACTGTTCGAGTCGCTGTCAGTGGTCGGATAGAGCGGGTGTGTGGCCGAAGGAAATATATATTATATTTTAGAAATCTGCCAAGACTTAGCCCGATCCTGTCGTGTTAAGCCACACCCAGAATTCCAAACACGCGTGCATTGATTAAGGGTTGCAGAGCTTCAGCATTTGCCATAAAATAGCGAGCAATTAGTTACAAAACTATATAAATTATATATCACTGTAATCACAAAACTTCAATCTATTTCCGCATTGTAACGAAATTTTAAATTATGCAAAATAATATCAATAATAAATAATCAAAAATATTTAATAATTTTTTTGCATTCCCCCCTCCACCAAAAATATTTTTGGTTTTATTCCCTTTATCTAATATATAAAATTCTCGTGTCACAGTTTTAGTTACCACACTCCTCGAAACGGCTTGACCGATTTTAATGAAAGTTTAGATGTATATTCAGTAGGTCTGAGAATAGATTTTTATCTATTTTTTAGGCCTCTAAGTGATAAAGGTGGTCCAACCCAATTTTTTTACTTTTTGGACGAAATATATTTTTTTTATTTTTTGATGTGGCATTAAAAAATAATACATAAGGTGCCCGGTGGCGTAGAGGTACAGGCTCTCAACTACGAATCTGAAGGTAGTAGGGTTCGAATCCCACATATCATCAGCCGACTATTTTTATTAAAATAAAAATAGTTTGGGTACCTAGGTCGACTCTACCTTAAATGAGTACTTGGGATTCACAATCCTGAGGTAATAATAGGCGGTTGAAGCGTAGTGCTAGCCACATTACCTTTCTTGTATACCGAATGGCTCTAGTATGTCAAGCTGTACCTTGCTACTTCCAAGGCGCTAAACGCTATATACGGGAGCTATTATTATATATTATTATTATTTTCGGGAAAATTTAGTCCAAAAATAAGGAATATTTTGTTAATGTTTGACCATCAAAATCTTAAATATAAAGAAGTTTTACATAAAACGTTAAATGCTGAACGCTTATTTTGCTACTTTTCCGCACTAGTGAAATGACTCAACACCAAATGTAATCAAATAATAAAAAACCCAAGAAGTATTCAAGAGGCTGTTTGTTCCCATCTTGAAATTAATTTTAACTATCAAACTGTTCGGTGGCCTCGAGTTTCTCGTTAGTATTTTTAACCATTAGCGATGCTTCTCTGGTGTTTGTCCATTTTCTCTTCGCCTTTTAATCTCTTTAATCTCATTGGGTAGGAACAGAAAATTGTACCGCAGATCTGATAATGCGACCTCTGACGCACAAGATTAACTGTCCTAATAGAATACGGCAGCTAATCTTTGATTAACGAAAGACTTTTTGAAGGGAAATTAATAACACAAAACAAGCTTATCTTCACCAAGGGTAACGCAGCACTTGATTAAATTCGAAAAGGTTAACCTAACAATAAAAATTGTATTAAAAAAAGCAGATTATTTTGGTATTACACAAATATATAGGACGAGTCTTAAATAAGTCCAAATATTTTCAAGACTGGTAGATCTCGATAAAAGAAACATATTTTCTCTTTACCGTTCAAATAAATCCAAAATAACCGAGTTAGTTTCCAAATAAATGACTTTTTGCTAAAATTTTGAGAACCACTGGATCTTTTTTGGATTTTATTTTTTGTATCTACTGCCTAT